TAACAAAATTTTAACTTTTTGTGTGTGCGTTTTTTTGTTTTGTTTTTTTTATAACTGCTTATCTTGCTCATCAGGTGGTCAAATGAGGACCATGGTAAGTGCAATAACAACTCAGATGTTACCTTCTTTGGATATGTTATATATATTAGCTGATCCTATTGTATAATACTACAATAACTGATTTAGAAAATGACGACGATCCAAAACTGCAACATTGTCACAATAAATGGCCTCAGATTAAAGATGTGCTTGATCAACATGACTTTGTACCAAGGGGAGAATCACAGGTAACAAATATATGCCTTATAGTCCTTAGCTATATATTATTCTATTGCATATTTTGTCTGTATAACGTTTGGGGACTATGTTTGTGGGGTAGATGTATAGGGGAGATATGTGGTACATTGGACCGTGTAATAGGACAGACGCAGAGCACGCCTTGCACCTCGTCAATAAGGTACAAAACAAAAATATAACAAGTCAATTTATATTACTTCTATTTATTTTGAAATGTCACTTTTCATTTTAGGATGGGGCATTTTTAGTTCGAAACTGCTCCCTCAACAGCAACAGTGAACCTTTAGTCTTGTCAGTTTTTCACGAGAAGAAAGTGTACAATGTCAAAATCCGTTTTATTGAATCTCACAGAAAGTATGCCTTAGGAACGGGACAACGATCTAATGAAGTAAGTGAACAAAAAATAATTAGTTAAAGGACCTATATTACTCTTGTGAGCTTTATGCAACGTTATGTTGTTACCTCATCAAAAACATAGCTGGAGCTGTGCTTTTTTTTTTGGCATATGTTTGAGTAATCCTCGTTTATTTACATCTCTAAAGCTCAAAACACTCTGTTCCACCTTGTGATATCATGAAGAGGGAGTTTTCAAGTTATCAGCTACTTTCTACCTTTTTTTCAGTAGAGATTGGCAATTCTGGGTCTGAAATCACCCAAATAATTTTAGTGAAGCTGTGTGAAGTTTAACAACACACTTGAACACTTCCTGTATTATGACATAACAAGTGTTTTCTGTTTGAGAGAAGAACTCAGCCTAAATATGCAAGATTTGTGTGTTAAACATGTGAAACAAAACACAATCCCAGGTATGTTTGTAATGAGGAAAACATTATAACATAGATCAGAAAATAGCATAATAAGGGTCTTTTAAAGTTAACATTGTAATACTGCATATGTGATGGTGTGTGCCCTGCTCCTCAGATGTTTGACACAGTATCGGACATCATCAACTTTCATTCCATCTTCCCGATAATCCTCATTAGTGGCAAAAATCTTCCAGGGAGTCCAGAGAATTGTGTACTGACATTTCCAGTGACAAAGGAAGATCTGGAACGACTTCTCCAGTGACTCTGCTATACACAGATCATGCACGGATATAATGTTATATTATAACAACTGACAAGGATTTACTTTGACCTTTACAAGGATCTATATTGTGTTGCTAATATGGTTGCCTGTGGACATTCAATAATTAGCACCTAAGCTACAAATTTAAATATGGACACATTTTAACCAATATTTTCATACTGACAAGGTATCAAAATGTATAAATTCTCAGGCTATAATTTTAATCAGATGTTATTCTTTTGTCATTAACTTTAACGGACAGCAGTAGCACAGTTGGTAGAGCATTCGCCCACTGATCTGAAGGTTGGTGGTTCAAATCCAGCTCTTGACATAAACATCACAGGTTGAGTGGTCAGATCCACTGACCCACAGGTTGGCTGGTGTGATTCCAGCTCCCACAGATGAAAGACACTTAACCCACCTTGCCCACAGTGTCTGTGTACTCTGGTGTGTGAATGGGTGAGTGGTTCCTTGTTGTAAAGTGCTTTGAGTGCCTTGAAGGTGGAAAAGTGCTATAGAAAAATGTGACCGTTTACCATAATGGTGCACTGTGCAACTTGTTTGTCTCCATGCTGATGCTATTGCTATGTTTTATCTGAAATGTCCTGGTATGGCATTAAAACTATCCATCTTGAATTGAGTCAATAACATTGTTTTTTATTAACCTAAAATTTCTAAAATAAATAAATAAATAAAATCTTACTGAGAATCGGCTCACCTCTCCACAGATTCTGACATGTAACTTGGCCCTGTGGTGTCACCTCCTGTCTCTGTAGAGGTAAATAATTGTAATGCTATACTGTGGAACATTCCAGGCAATAACTCCATGAAGAGAAGCAGGTCACAGACCCTCCACCAGAAATGTTACATGTGCACCTTTAATATTATGTTTTATCTGTAAATATATTTAATTGCTAGATTAGTTAAAGCAGGAGGCCGCCAAGATAAAATTTGATAGTGGAGAATTTTTTTGATGCATTTTATTTAAAAAAAAGTCACTGGTATCACCAATCACTGTCCGACTTCTTAAATGTTCCTTCATGTATTCATTCACTCCCAATACCCAGCTGTGGTCCTTCACTTGTTTAGGGTCTGTCTGTCCACAAATGCAATGCGTCACCCCAATCCTCAAACAGATAAAGTGTCTTGCTCAAGGACACTGCAGTAATACGTAGGCTATATATGGAAAAATGGTGGGAGACAAAAAATACTGTCCCACAGGCAAAAAACTGAAGTTTAGTTAACAATTTCCAAGGTAAAATGAATGAACACAGTGCACAACAAAGGTTTAGAGAAGTGTTCAGACTCTGAAGGAATAAACTGAGATGATCTCTCGTGTGAATTCAAAGTCTGTCTTGTTAAAAAGTTTGTACACATAAGATTGCCATTTTTATTTTTATAATTAACAAATAACTATTTTTTGCACACCCAGTGACTTAATTACTTAAAATCCTTGATGGCCTGTCAGGACACAAAAAACCTAACCTTGATCGAACCTGAACTTGAGTGTGTTATGGTTTCATTTGATATGTAACATTTAAATTACTGTACTCAAGTTCAGCTCTTATTTCAATTTGTATATTCTTAAAAACATGTTCATGTTACTTCCCAGCATATATTATGTCACCTCAGTAAAATATATACAAGTCAGCCATGTTCCTTTTAATAAAAAAGTAGTAACACATTGTGAATACAAAAGTATGCATAACAACAAACACTGGTGAAGAAAATAAATTGTCCTCAATGTACAATAATGAAAAGGCAAAGTGTACAATTGTAAATGTATGGATAAAAGCTGCTCTGAACACAGAATGCAATATGGGGTTTATGAACTGTACAATAAGTGCCAGTAGTTCTATGCCATAACAGGTGACACCACCATAAAATGTTGAAAAAAAAAAGCAAAACCACATATGAACGTTTTAAAATATTAACACTTGAGGTAAGAACTACAGGATTGTATGCTTGATATAAATAAGGCCAAATGTAAGATACCACATCTTAAGACGCTATAACTGTGTCGATGAGGCCCATCTCTTGTTACGATAACTATATTTACATTGACTATTTACATGTACTGGCAAACACAATACCAATCTTTTCTTCCCTTTTTTGTTAGCGGCTTGGACACGGTATATTAGACTCTACAAACTAGCATACGTCCTGTATAAATTTATGGGTGTCGTATTGTCAATTACCACAGTTGCAGAATATATACAGAAATTTTAAATGGAAATCAAAATAAAAATACATAGTTTGATTTGTAGAAATAGCTACAAGTACATATAGTTTTGCTTGTCTTTTAGTATGAGCAACAACACTGGTCAAAGATGCTTAGAAATTTGTAGAAGTGACAATGATCTGATCAATAAGCCAAATATACAAGCATTAAATAAATAACAAACAACAGAATAACAAAAACTTAATCTACAAATGGTATTTTATCGAGTGGTCAGGACATGCATTCAATACCCAAAATTGTGTATTTCGCTGTAAGGTGAGTAAGACAGGCAAGTAATCTTTAATTCACTGAAACGTACAGTTCAAACAAATCGATGAACTCAATCAAAACAAACCAGTGATTGACACACTGACACACTTTTACTCCTTTATCTACACATCTTGCATCTGATAGAAAATATTTGAAAGTCACTGGATGTTTTTTGAAATACCCGGCATTACTAAACATTTGTAGTGTTGGACACGTATAAACACTTTGAGATAGGAAAAAATATATGTTATCTGAATGTAACACAAATTTATCTTTATGCAGTAAACTGGTGGCTGGATATGATGTTAAAGTACTAATAGGGCATCTGAAAACATTGCACTTCAGTTCAACAACACATGCAAATATACACAATACCAGCGTCCATGGAATTGGCGTCTTTGAAATGAAAATAGTCTTTGTTTTATATCAATACCATGTCAGGATACTGTTGGATGTGAATAATAACCTTTTGTGGCACTGTCCATGTTTTAAGAGAAGTTCCGTATGGTGCACCCCATCACCTCATACTTCCGTCCCATCACTTTACCAAGTTTCATTTTCAGTATTTGGCACTTTGGAGTGGCAGTTCCTCCAGCTCCTTTATTTTGAAAAGTCTTTGTAGGTACAGTTTTCATGTGAAAACAAGGTTTTGGGTGATTGAGCACCACCACAGGTTGGTTGGTACTTGGCCACTTCACTGCTTGGTCATTCCTCAGTGGCAAAAGCTGCAGAGCTGCACAAGGCTTCGGGCCATCAAGGACCTTGGCGACACTTAATTTGAGAACAGTCTTAGCCTTTTTCTTGCTTTTCCTCGAGATCCCAACTTGAACCCTTTTTAAAGACACAGTCAGGAATTTGGGAGGACTTTCAGGGATAGTTTGTGCTTCAACAGGGGTTTGCACCAAGATGTTTTCTGAAACCAGTGGTGGCTGGGGAATGAACGGACCAGTATTAACATCTTGAAGGGATGATGCACATGTTTTACTGGGTTTAACCTGTTTGGGTGATGCATACTTTTTGCTAACTTTAGCATGCTTGGGTGATGCACACGTTTTGCTAAGTTTAGCATCCTCTGGTGGTGGGCATGTTTTGGTAATATTAGCATCCACAATGGGTGAGCTTGTTAGGTTAAGTTTAGGAGTCATTTTGCTCTTTTTATTGGCTTTCACAGGTGTACTTTTTTCCTTTTTTAAACTGATATTCTGAGGGGCCACTGTGACATCCTGAATGTCCTGATCATCTTCAATCTTCACAGACTCACAGGAGATCTTATTAGATAATGTATCATGAGTAATCTTGCCATCATTTAAATCTCTATGAGCCTGATGTCCTGTCATTTCGGATTGCTCTGTGCGAACACTTTTGATTTTTGGGCTGTGACACCCTGCACTGTTGGTCCATTCGGCCATCACAATTGGCTGAGTGGATTCCTGTGGATCACTTGGCTGTTGACTCAAAGAGTAAACAGAGTATATTACTGGAAATCCCTCAGGTTCTACTCGCACATCCTCGGTTACAGCTTTTTCCCTTTTCACTTCTTGGGGCAGAGAGGGCATTTTCATGTTTGTGTTGTTTGCAAGTTTCTTTGCTGCTAACAGCTCTGCAGAAGAAGCTTGCTCTGGGGTAAATGTTTTTGTAACTAATTTATCCTTACATTCATTTGTAACTCGAACTTGGGGAGGTGGCGGTGCAACCACTGAGGGTGTCACTGGAAGAAGCAGTGTTTTCAAGTTTTGCTGCATAGGGTTTGTCAACTCATGCTTGTTTTTGTGCAGTATGGGGTCTTCCTTAGCTTTTACAGTTACAGAACCCCGGTTCATAGGAACAATGCGAGGCATAATCTGCACATTGTTCATCATTAATGGTTCTGAACTAGGGGGAGGTCCTGGAGCAGAACTTTTTCTCTCCTCAACACCTTTTAGACTAATCAGAGTTGACAAACTTTCTGGTAGCAAAGTACCTGTTGTTAACCTGTTGGCTAACATAGAGGACATAGCCGTAGGTGTGATACTGTGACTAATGGGTTCCTTCTGTGAAGCAACCTTGGCTTCCCCAACAGAAATAAAGGTTCTGGGAATCTTAGTTGGGACACCTGCATTCAAGTTGATAACTTCTGATGGTCTTTTTGTATTAGAGCGTTGTTCCTTTATCGTTTGTTTTGGAAAAGGTTTGGAAATGTTAACTGGAACCAGAGTGGGGCGTCCTTTATTCACAAGCTTAGTTTCATTATTTTTATTGCCAAATCGCATCCCTGAATCATTTGCATTTGGATATTTCATTTGTGAAGAAAGTACTTTTGAGGTTTCGGGGACTGTGGTCCTTCCATTTTTTATAACGGACTCATTTTCTTGATGAGCAACAAATCTTAGCCGGAGCTCCTTAGTTCCATCTACAGTCTTCACCTCCGCTACCTCAACCATGCAGCCGGCAGGGATAGAAACTTCCTCTGGGAGTGAAACAGTAAGTGCTCGATTGTGCTGCACTTGTCCATTTAAAGGTACAGCATCACCATGATTAGCGTTTGAGATATAGGAGCTCAAGGATTTTAGTCTTTGCAAGTTATTTTCCAGTGTAACTCCAGCGGTAGTAGGAGTTGGAACATTCACACGAACAACAGGCCTCTGAGGAGCTGCACTGGCTGCACTGGCTGCACAGGGAACACTTTGAGAGGCACTTGAGACAGAAATGCGTGGTGTTATTTTAGGTGGTTCTTGAGGTATAATTTTACTGTGAAGACGCTCAATGTGCTTTATAAGGCACATCCTCCGCATATACACTTGTCCACAATGAGGACATTTAAATGGACTTGTTCCTGTGTGTATCTGCAAATGAGTCTGTAACTCAGCTTCACTGAGAGACACCCTGTTACAGTAAAAGCAGTAATACTCAGTATGCTCTTGTGCCACATGTTTCTTGAAAGCCGACATGTCTGTAGTGGCAAATCGGCATTTCTCACATCGCATCACATTGGGAGCACTCAGTAAATGGCCCAGGCTTATATTTGGATTCATCACAGAAGAAGCCATACTTTGATAGCTGGCGGGCTTCATGATGAACCAGAAAGGCCACAGGGCATCTGGTCCTTCGATGGCAGATCAGACAGTGTTGTAGGAGCGGGATCAGGTGTAGTCCAGTGTCAAAATGCTTACATATCTGAAAGGGGAATAAAACACAAAACACATGCAAATAAGAGGGAGGTGAGTACATGTAGCATCATCACGGGGGTTCGTCAGTCATCAACAACAACGCCCCTCCCCCTGGATCAAAGTGGACATGTAGAATTTATTTACTCGATGTACATTTAGTTTTCTTGTTTATAAAGTGACCTTAAAACAACAGGATTGGAAAACATTAAAACAATCTCTGCTATGTATCGGGTAAATGGTGCCAAAAGAATTAGGGAAAGGCCTTGCAAACCACAACACGGAGGTCGAGCAGACAACGGGCCGATCCTTAACCCTTCTCTTTATATTTGATCGCGCACGTACCTTGGACAGCGGGGCGTGCAACAACGATAGAAGTTTTATACTATCTGGATATAAATGAATGAATGCAAATCCGTCAGCGAGATGGGTAGAAATACTTTACAAATGAACCAGCCGATGGGTTTAGGTTAGCTGGATACCTTAGCGTTAGCAGCTGAGCTTGCTATAAACTTCCGGGAAACGATTGTGCTTTTCTTCAAAATACAAGCATATTCTTTTGATACCAATGGATAGGATCGAGTCCATACTCCAAAACTGAGCTAACCACATTAAGCAGTCGTCCTACACATCTTCCTGTAAGTAGCAGTATTGGACTGTGTGCTATGACTGGCGATGATGAGGATTTGCGTAAGATACACAAATAGCTGTTTTCAGTGTCAGAGCACCATATGCTACTATTATTTCGAAAGGCCTCACCGGATGTTTATATAACAACTGTATAAATGTTGATATTAATCAAACATCGCTATAGAAGAAAATGCGGGACTAGTGAGACACATTGGATTAATATAGCCAAGTTTATCTCTATATACTTAATAACGTAAATACTACTGACCTAACGCACTGGGCCACCTGTTAATTGTTAACGTTAGCTTCATGAAAGTCGCACTGGAGAAGACGGCAACTACTCGTTACGTGTCACAACACAGCCATGCTACTGCCACTATGAATTATACAGTGCTAGTCTGCATGGCAGTGTGATAGTGGTGTAATTGATTTAATGACCAGTCAAATTATTAATCCGCAACATGCAAAGAGCTCCAAATCCATTGCTAGCATAAAAGATGTTTCTTGCAAGATCCTGGAGGCTTCTCCCTTCTGTGTCTGTGCCAGTGATCTCACGGTGAGCATCTAACTTTAACAGTTATGTCCTTTTCTTTAAAATACTTTATCCTCTACTTTGTACAACATCTTTGCATATGTGATTTTCACATGTTATTGTGACTCTACTGCAGCCCATGTGAGAATCACCATTGTGAAAACAGTTTCTGGGATGTACACACCATTGTTGTTGCAATTCATAATGACACAGCAGTGGCTTTCACTTGACCCTCCCATTCCCCTCTGCCCAGTACAGATGGGCTAAAAGGAGAGCTTCCTGGTTATGGCATTATTAATTCTGTTATCGCAGACGCACGCTTCCCGCTGGGTTTTACATCAAAAACTTTTTCCACATATTCGCAGGGCTCTTGTTCATAGCCGCAGCATGGCCTCAGACCCGTCGACAGAGGACGTTACCCGGCTTGACTTCCTGGTGATCGGCGGCGGTTCTGGTGGTCTCGCTGGGGCTCGTCGGGCGGCGGAGCTTGGAGCAGCCACCGCGGTGATCGAGAGCCACAGACTCGGAGGTACCTGCGTGAGTAAACCCCATAGCCATATTCACTCACATGCTCTGTTAGTCTTACCACTAACGCTAAGCCTCCAGTCCACTGTAGTACACATTTACACTGTCAAATGCGGCTCCAATACTCTACCGGCCCCAGACTGCAGAGCCTATGGGAGCATCAGACGGCCTCATTTGACCTCCTTTGGTTACACGCCAGTAGATATATTTTGACAAAACGGTCAGGACACAGCTGTCCACACACTGCATTAAAATGTTCAGTAAAACTATTTGATATGTAATAATGCAAATGTGAATGTGTACTGTGTAGTGGTATGGTGGATTACAGTTTTCAACATTTTCAGGATTAAATAATGCTTCTTTTCTTCCCCAATAGGTTAATGTTGGCTGTGTTCCCAAAAAGGTATTTATTTAAATTTTCATAAAACAAAAACAAATGTCTGTTACAATCAGAAAATATTTCTTGTGTTTTAAAGGTTATGTGGAATGCAGCTGTTCATGCGGAATATCTCCATGATCACGGGGATTATGGCTTTGAAGTGGGGCAAGTGAATTTCAGCTGGGAGTAAGTTGGTTTGTTTCCTCTTCTCTTGCGTCACTTACCTGCTTCTTCCTTCTTTGTAGTTGGTTGTGAAAGATTGGTTACAAGGAGTGGCTACTTAAAGTTACAGATTTCTGCACAGTTGATCCTAATTTCAGGGTTAGTCTCAGTATTTATTGTTAGAATTCCTCTCTGCTAAGGTGCATTTACACTTATTCCGGTCAGAGTTTAGTGTAGTCCTTGTGTAGATTTGGGAACTGAGTTTGTCCAGTTTAGTGTGAGTTTCTGAGTGTGTGTGTGTGTGTGCGCACGCGCTTCCTATATTGAATACTGTTTTAAGAATGTGTACAGATATTGTCATTTTTCCCACTTTAGAACACTGAAGGCCAAACGAGATGCTTATGTAAGTCATCTGAATCGAATTTATCGCAACAATCTTGACAAGGTAAGATGTATTAGGTTTTTATTTTCATAGTGTTTTTACTTTTATTGATATAGATATAATTTAGTATTTTCCTTACTTAAAAAGAGAAAAACATAAACATAAAAAAACATGTACAAACTCCTGAAAAATCTGATTGCCATGGTTAACTAAAGATTAAAAAAAACAGAAATTCTAATAACTAGTAATAAAATAATGTGGCTATTTCCAGGCCAAAATACAGACAATTCAAGGTCAAGCCAGATTTACAAATGACCCTGAGCCTACTGTGGAGGTCAATGGAAAAAAGTTCACTGCGCCTCATATCCTCATTGCCACTGGGGGGTATCCTGCAGTGCTAAGCGAGCAAGAAGTACCAGGTTTGTTTGTTTGTTTGTTTTTTGTTTTCTTTTTTTTGGTGAGTACAAAGAAATTTTATTACATAAACATGTCATGAAGTTATGTAATTTTTTTTTTTACTTCAGGGGCTGGTCTGGGGATCACTAGTGATGGCTTTTTTGAACTTGAAAGTCTACCAAAGTAAGTTATTTTGTATTTTGTCTTTAGAAAATATATGGGTGTAGTTGTCAGCTGCTCTTAATGATAAAATCTTGCCTCCTATTTCTGTGTACTCAGTGTTGAATGTCTGGTGATATTTTGCTTCCCGTCAGGCGCAGCGTTGTGGTTGGTGCAGGGTATATTGCTGTGGAGATGGCAGGTATTCTCTCCACACTAGGTTCCAAAACATCACTTGTGATTCGTCAGTCAGGAGTAAGAAAAATATTTCTATCTCTTGAAGTAACTCACTTATTTATAATTATATAATACAATAACATGTTTTGTAATACCATTTATAGGTTTTGAGAAACTTTGACAGTCTCATTAGTGCAAACTGCACAAAGGAACTGCAAAATTCTGGAGTAGATTTGTGGAAAAATTCTCAGGTGACGTCTGTGAAGAAAACAGACAGTGGGCTGGAGTTGACTATTGCCACTAAAGATCTTGAGAAGAAAAATGACGAGGAAAAGATCAGCACTATTGGGCAAGTGGACTGTCTCCTCTGGGCTATCGGCAGACAACCAAATACATTTGGATTAAACATCGGAGGGATTGTAAGAAAGGCTTATTCCTGTGTTTTGTCTAGTAAATATATGTAGTCTTAAGCAGTTGTTGTAGCGCAAACTACAACAACTTTGAAATATTCTCTCAATACCAAAACAGTCTAGACCACTTTTCTTTCTCACCTCTAGATGTTTAGATTAATCTTCAAGAATATATTGTTATTCACAACTATTTCCAGTGCACCTGTATTGACGTGTTGGTGCATGTTTGCAGGGTGTGGAGACTGATGACAGAGGTCACATTGTTGTGGACGAGTTTCAGAACACTAGTCGACCTGGAGTCTATGCAGTCGGAGATGTGTGTGGAAAGGCACTTTTAACCCCTGGTGGGTACATATCTTTTTGTTGACATAGAATTGTTAATTTGTGGACTATAATAACAAAACACAAATATTATAGCTTTGTGGTTAATGAGTATTTTGTATTCCATACATTTAACAGTTCATCTAAAACATATGTATATATTTTTAGTTGCTATTGCTGCTGGTAGAAAGCTGGCACACAGACTTTTTGAAGGCAAAAAAGACTCAAAGTTGGATTACTCCTGCATTCCTACTGTAGTCTTTAGCCACCCACCCATTGGAACGGTTGGCCTCACAGAAGGTAAATTGAGAGGTTGTTCATGTTTATGTATACATATAGATAAGTGCTTCATCTTTTGCCCTGACTGATAGTTCCTTATGTTTCTTTCAGAGGAAGCCATTACAACAAGAGGCAAAGAAAATGTAAAAATCTACAAAACGTCTTTTACTCCAATGTATCATGCACTCACAAGCAGGAAGAGCCAGTGCATTATGAAGTTGGTGTGTGTGGGCAAAGAAGAAAAGGTATGATTATTCATTTTTAATAGTAATTTCAACTTTTAAAGTAATTAATGGAATAAGCAATACAAGATTAAAAACTATATATTTTTTTTGTTGCAGGTTGTTGGATTGCATATGCAGGGTCTTGGGTGTGATGAGATGCTTCAGGGCTTTGCTGTAGCCATCAAAATGGGTGCAACCAAATCTGACTTTGATAAAACTGTTGCTATTCACCCAACCTCATCAGAAGAGTTTGTCACAATGCGCTGAAACTTTTACCTTTGATTCTGTAGCTGGACCACAACAGACAATCAACAATTACTTTCTCAAAAATTAATTTACTGTCCCACCAGTCTAATAGTTAATCAGATCTCACTCTTTCTTTCTGTCCACAGTGTTTTGGTTTGTTTATGAATTTGTGTGTTAACTTACAGTTTAATCTTTTTAAATCTTCTAGACTCCTTACGGCCTAAAAAAGCTATTACACTTGTACTGTGTTTTTTTTACAGCAGTATACTCCCCAAAGACGGACTTTCAGGAAGGGTGATAACTAGGTGCATAAATGTTTGTGTGAATGAATATTTGTGTGAGTGTTTCACCATTGACAGAGCTAACACTTGAGAGAATTGTGTCGGTTTGCTCTGTCAATAACATGGAGGTAATACACTAGTCACAGCCTTATAAGAAAAGTGTTTAAGAAATTATTTGATTTGTTTGTTATTGCTGAGTCACTGTACAACTCTGTAGCTCTATTTTATTAAAGAGGAGTGATATTAAAACATTTGCGACACAAACTAATGAGCATATTTGGATTTATTAAACTGTGTACTAAACTGCATTATTGAGGCAGGTATTTCTAAAGTCAAGAGTCACATGCCCACTACAAGTATCAGAAAACAATTTTATTTGAATTTTGAAGCTTTACATCTGTTAAGGTGCAATGTATAACTTTTGTGGTGGCGGTCTGCTACCTTTTTATCTGCACGAGGATGTTATTACTATGCCTGGAGTGTTTCACAGAACGCCATCAAACTTCTCTATGTGGTATTATTCAATTACTTGTCTTTGTATTACTGAAAAATACCTTGAAAACATACTGTGAGTCCGTCTGCCCCCAAATCTAACCTGTAACTTGTACTGGTTTGACCTGCTTGTCATGAAGTTAGATAAGTTGAATTCCATACTGTGGAACAATCCTGGCAGAGCAAAAAAAACAAAAAACAAAACAAAAAAAACTAGCAGATGTCAGACTCCATCATCACTTCTTTCAAGTACTTTTTTGACTTTAAGTCCAAAGTTTTAGCAGCTATTTTACTTATTTACTATTGAGTAGTGTGACCAGATGTCTCTGTTTACCTGGGACAGTCCCAGCTTTGAGCTCTGTGTCCCCTATTCCAGCAGATTTATTCAAAACCAGTGATTTGTCCCAGTTTTATATAAGAAATGTCCCAGGTGTCCCTATTTTTGACCAATCCGATCCCTATCAACAGTAAAGAAGCACATAAATTGCCGTTTATTTTGGTAAAATACAGGAAAGCTGCTTAAAAATGACAAAACACAAAGAAAACTTGACAATACTGACTCATTAGTGCAGAGTTCAATTTTGACATAACATAACAATTACCACTCACTTCACAATTTTATTATTATTAACCACCCCAAACCAGGGATGTCCTAGTTTTTCATTTTGAAAATATGGTCACCCCACTATTGAATAATATTCATGGTAATATTTTTTTACTTTTTACTTCCTCTGATTATTACAGTTTTGATTTTTGAAAGCATGTTTACATTCTCTTTGAACTTTACATTTATCAAAGGGCTGCAACTTTTTTTGGCCTCTCACTTTCATGGACAGCAAGAACGCTATCATTCTGAAAGAACTTATCACTAGCTATGAACTCTTAGACCCCTACCACCCCATTTAATTTATTTAATTTATTTTTTTATTTACATTGTTCCTGCCTGACCTCTCATTTGTCATGCTTAATTACTTGATCATTTCATATTGCCATTTTGTTTGTAATATAATAATAATTATTATATAAATTATATAAAATAATGCAAACATATAATTTTGCATAATAAAAATAAAATACTAAATAAAAATACTAAATAAAAAGTTATCGTTTCACGTTGGTCTAATATCGCGAGACAAATGAGGGTAACCCGAATCACGCTCGGGTCTCACGAGATGTCCGCAGCGTCACTTGTTTCACAGCAGCGCCGATGTTTGTAGCACAGATGGACCACAGACTGTCCGCTTCTGCTGCTGCAATTTGGCTCATTGATTCTGGAAATTATCATGGATTACGCTGAACACATTTCGCCATAAAAAGGTACGATCCTCTCGTTGAACATTTTAGTGATCGGATCGTTTGGTGAGTGAAAGTTGTGAAGGAGCTCAAAGTTTAGACGCTAACTGTTAGCTTTTGGGGACAGCTACACTATTAGCCATCGTTATCAATATTATTACATTATAAAACTTTGTGTTGATTTATGGCTGGGACTGGCAGTAAGGTTAATAGTACAGATCAGCTGCTTGTAAACTATCCATGTTCGTTGTAACATTGGATAATTAACATATTAGCTGACCCGGTATGTAGCTAGCCAGCGAGCTAACCTAAGTGATTATCAGTGACATAAATTACAAATCGGCTTTTAGACCGTAGAGTTAAAATAGTAACACAATTACTATGATAGGACGACTTTCTAGTGGCAGTGTCACGAACCTAAATGATCACGTTAAACCGAATTTGTGTGGGTAACATTAAGCTCGGTGCATTGCTTACCTGGCTGTGTGTCTTTGCCTGTTCCTAGAAATCTTTCCCCGTTAAGTAGGAACGCCGCACCCAGAAGGATGTTTCCGAGCTTGGCACACAGGCCATGGCATGTGTTCTGTAGGGTCTCCCTGCACCACAGATCATCTCTGTCACACTGGAGCCCAAAGTTCACCCATTCAAGCTATGGTGAGGTCACAAAGCTACACTACATTACATTACATTGAATTACAGATTTTGTCATGCCTAAATGTTTCTACTTTATTTACTAATCTCCACACAGGTTGGCCAAGTGGAGGTATACATAGCTGGTGGCTCAGTCATCCTGACTTCCGTGTTGCAGCTCTAGGACTGAACAAGATCCAATACTACTCTACCTCCGGGTCCAGTAAAAATGACCCTCCCAAATCTGAACCGGTGGATGTCAATGAGAAGGTGGTGGGAGATTCTGAAAAATCAGCAGGTATTGTCAGTTTTGTATGCTGCGATGTTGTGATTGATCAACAGTAAACGTGTGACATGGCCAATATTCTGTTGTGCATGTGTTTAGAACCATCTGCATTGGGGACGCTGAAACCGGCTCAGCCATATCAAGTGAAAGGTAGTTTTTTCAAACATTTAATGGAGCTTGTGATTGTATCATTACACCTCAAAGAGTTATTAGTTAGTTTAGTATTTATTGTCTTATCTCTGATTTAAAATTAGACTAACATTCATTCAAAAGTATTCTGAGACTATAGCGTAAGTAAAGTTATTATAGACAAAATACATTTTTGGTCGACATGGATCTCTATGGGTGTTTTGCACATCTGGCCAGTAATGTAAAATGTGTGATGTTCAATTCTAAACTCTACATTACTCTTGAGAAGTTGGCTACTGGAACAACAATGTTTTTTGTTTTCCCCAGTGCGGGCTGTTTTAAAGAAGAGGGATTATGGGGCCAAATATACTCAGAACAACTTTATTACAGCAGTAAGAGCCATGAATGAGTTCTGTCTGAAACCAAGGTAAATTGTTCTCACATTTTTTGTCACATTCATTCATTGGATGGGTGAACTCTGCAGTGCATACTAATACTTTGGCCTATTCTTCATTCAGTGACTTAGAACAATTAAGAAAGATCAGACGGAGAAGTCCCCATGATGATACAGAGGCATTCACAGTTTTTCTGCGTTCTGACGTGGAGGCAAAGTATGTATCATAAAATTATTAATTTGCTAAATCTGTCAGAAAACAAAATTGGTTAATTATTTTTCTATGACTTTTAGAGCACTAGATGTCTGGGGGAGTCTTGAAGCTTTGGCACGAGAGAGAAATCTTAGGAAAGAAGTGGAGAGAGAGTATCAAGAAAGTATGATTTTTAACATTACCCCGATACAGTATGTGTGGGAGTTACATTATGACATTTGTTCATTTGCTCCTTTGTTCATTTCTAGATATTTTCCGCAATCAACAGTTGTTGAAGGAATACAAGGACTTTTGGGGAAACACCAAGGTAATACTATGTAGTTCTGGTTCTCCTATAGTATTTCACAACATTCTACTTCCCCTGCATTTTAAATCCAATCCACTTTATTTATATAATACATTTTATAAAACCCTTTCCAAAGTCCTCAGTAGTCATGGACATTAATTATTTTGTGATATTGTTTAGAGTGTAAAGCTACATAGATTCTGATAATGATACTTCTGAGATATATTTGTACATGTATAGTGCTTCCATTTTTTGCTGCAATATAGCATAACATTTTAGACAACAAGATACCATCTCATATTTGTAAAACTTTGCATTATCCTGAGTCTTTTAAAGAAAGTAAAGTTCATTCATATCTTTTTTTTTTTTTTTCATAAAGCCTCGATCAGGCAAGAGGACTCCCTTCTTACAAGGCCCAGGGAAAGTTGTAATGGTTGCCATTTGTATGTAAGTTGCAGCATGATGTATTTATTTCTATTTTATTCTTTTAAAAAACGTGTCTGTTCCTTGTTACTATAAAGTTAATTCAGTTTGTAACTAATAGGGTTTGCGGGAAAGTGAGGCCTCACGTGATACGGGATGATCTCTGAGATTAAAGTAATTTTGTTAAGTTTGCATCATGTGCTGGAGGTCACATGAAAAGCATCCATTGCTTATTCATAGTAGTTTTAGAGAGTTGCCCAAGATTATGAGTTATATGTTTGTATGTTTGTGTATGATTGTTTTTAGTTAACTTTAGTTAACTTAATCTAGAAACAAAATTCATCACTCCTTCACAATATTGCTGTGCACGGTGTTTGTTTGACTTTAGAAATGGGTTGAATTTCTTCTTCAAACTTTTGGCTTGGGTCTACACTGGATCAGCAAGTATGTTCTCAGAAGCCATCCACTCTCTGGCTGACACCTGCAACCAAGCTCTATTAGCACTTGGAATAAGCCAGTCTGTTCGCAACCCAGATGCTGTGCATCCGTGAGTATACCCCCAATATATATTAAAAAATGCAAACATTTATAATGTATTTTATTATTTGTATAATGTTGTGGTAGCAAACTATTTGGTCTAACTGTTGTAATGAATCTTTTTTTTTTTTTTAGGTATGGCTTCTCCAACATGCGCTACATTGCTTCTCTCATCAGTGGTGTTGGAATATTTATGATGGGAGCCGGTCTCTCCTGGTACCATGGCATCATGGGGTTGTTGCATCCAGAACCTATTGAATCGTTATTATGGGTAACTGCTACAATATGCTGCTTCTTTAGTACTATCTTAATATGAAATGCTAAAGTTTCTTTGTGATACAGGCCTACTGTATTCTTGCTGGTTCTCTGGTTTCAGAAGGAGGTGAGTACAATAAAACATGAGTGCATTTACATTACATTATCACACTGTATCATGGAAAATAAATATGCATTTTATTTTATAGCAACATTACTTGTTGCTGTGAATGAAATCAAGAGAAGTGCTCATCAGCAAGGGGTGTCCTTTTTTGATTATGGTAAGTTGATCAATGTCTAAATGACCTCTATAGTAACCTTTATATTGTCCAAATATTTCAGCAATTTACTGCTCAACCATCCTGCCTTGCAAGCAAACTAAAAGTCATTAAATAATTTTAGTGTTGATTTCAACAATTTTTATTTGGATTTACAATATTTAATAAACATATTGCTATGTAGTTATGCAGAGCCGTGACCCGAGTACAAATGTGGTTCTGCTGGAGGATGCTGCTGCTGTACTTGGGGTCATTCTGGCAGCTGGAAGTATGGGGCTGACCTCTCTTACAGGTTTGAAAAAATAGTATATAGTGTTTATGAACCTGATTTAACCCATGCAGACAAGTCTTTCCGGGTTTTGTGTTTGTTAACTAAAATCATACGTCTCTGTTCAGGTAACCCCACATATGATAGTTTGGGCTCTCTGGGTGTTGGCACGTTGTTGGGCGCTGTGTCAGCATTTCTCATCTACACAAACACTGAAGCTCTGCTGGGACGTTCCATTCAGCCTGAGCGTGTACAAAAGCTTACAGAGTTCTTAGAAAGTGACCCCGCAGTAAGGTAAGTACACTCTTCAGTAATCTACTCTTGTGTCTTATTACATTCGTCAATAAACAAAGTCTGTCTGCTCCCTTGTAATGACCACAATTTATTTTTATGGACAGAGGGATCCATGACGTGAAAGCCACAGATATAGGCTTGAGTAAAGTGCGATTTAAGGCCGAGGTGGACTTTGATGGCCGGGTGGTTACTCGATCATATTTGGAAAAACAAGACATTGACCAAATACTCAATGTAAGTATAATTTTAAGTCATTATATTATCATGTAATGCTTTTGCATTTATTATTTATTCACTACCATGGAGCAGGGCTGCAACAATTAAGCCACTAATCGTGACTAATCAGCTATGCAAAAAAAAAAAAGTAATCATATTTTTGTAACTGTAATCAGCATCTGGTCTTTATATCCTTTTAAAAACAAAGATAGTGGTAGTGTTGAATCAAAATATCAAATAAATGTTCTTCATTAGTACACTTTGTAAATATTCTCTATTTAGAAGCCCTCAGTCAACATATTTCAACCTTTATTTAGTTTATAATGTACTTAAAAGGCAATGTACATTAAAAATAACCAGTATGCACAAATAAAACAACAGTATTTAGATATAGCTAGATTAGACTTATATATATTTATATACAAACTAATTCCTTTTTATTCATGGTTAATCACACTTAACAGGGAGTTGATGGGATTATGAGATGTATATTTTTGAAAATTGTAATTTTACTATCTATGACACTTCTTTATGCCTCTCTGTAACTGTGTCCTGAAGGATATTCAACAGGTAAAGACTACAGAGGAGCTTGAAAACTTCATGCTAAAACATGGTGAGAACATCATTGACACATTAGGAGCTGAAGTGGACCGTTTGGAGAAAGAACTCAAGGTATAAATATTGTCTGTTATATTTCCCTGTTAATTACAGTTCAAGTTCAATTTACTCTAATACATGTTTCGTTTGTTTTAGCAACGTAACCCAGAGGTCCGTCATGTAGACTTGGAGATTCTATGAAATTAGTGGAAGTTCTCACAACAGAAGACATTTAGAAATAAAACAGAAGACATTGACAAAGATGAGGAGTGTCAACCGGTGCAATATTCCTTTATCTTGGTCCATATAACACTGTAGAGTCATCAAATCTAGTGTAAAAACTGACTGTGTTGCTTTCTCTCCCTGCTTCATGAAGGTAATGTATTTTGACTAGACTTGTTGCATAGTCTGTTGATCAATTCTTGAAGTCACAAAGCAGATATAGTTCTGTGAGATCAGTCTCACAGAGAGTATTTGCATTTGAAGGTTCAATTATACAGTTTGTGTCAGAACTACTAGTTCATACCCATACTCATTGTTTTTATAATGGAGCCACGCATATAATGGTACCCTGTTCCTACTAAAGAAACATATTTATTCAGACAAAATTTTATTATATTATTATGGCAATAATAGTCCCTTAAATTAAGCGTTTTTTTATTACAAACACACCTGGCCTGTTATTTTACACGCTTCAAAATGTTGCTACAGTGAGAACAATAGCAAGTCTGATTTCTAATAATTATTTGAATTACACATGTAAAAATGTGTGCAACACTCATCTATTGAACATTTTTAAGCACAATCCATGGGAAATCCACAAGCAACAGCAACCCATTTTTTCACTTCTTATTTGGCAGCTTAGCACCAGATGACTGTACTATCCCAAAGATAAGGAGATGAGTATTAATATGAAAACCTTCAATAACTAGTAGAAAATAAGTTTCTGTAATTAAATCCACGCATCTTCTCAAAGCCTTGCTAGGAGTGGTTAGGTTGTCTTTACCCTCAATTACAAAGTGAAATGACTGGGATTCAAATCTTTATTCATGAGGAAGGCCAACATTTCATCTGTACCCAAAACGATGTTAATAATGTAATATTTCAGTGCTTATTGTGTTTTCACTGCTGAAGAAGGTTGATTAAAATCTGAATAATTTAATAAATTATTTTGCCATTTCAGTGTGCTTATTTTCTTACAAGTATTGTTACATAGCAATTTAATAGGACAAAACGTGTGATAGCTAAAAATAAAAGATTTGTCTTATTAAAAAGAAAACTTGCATTGAGGTCTCCTTTTTCTGGACGGTTGACTGGAATGTAAACCCAAGTCCATTAGATGGTGCAGTTGTAAAGATGAACGAGAGGGGGGAGCAGTACCCTGTGCGCTGACGTCAATAAAAACAGTGGTTTTCTACCAGTCTGCGCATTGACCGACCATTCAAAACATTACGCTCAGCGTCGAGGCTGGACCACGCCAGGCTACTCGACTGAAATAAATACCATCAAAGCAGAGAAGCGGACAAACGCCATTGCAGGTTTTTGACCATTGAATGTTGTTTTTACATTTTGGCTGTTGCGCGCATCAGTGTCATGTCTCGTCATACCATTCCCAAGTCAGCTGTGCCTGTGCCACTGCCCATCTATTTCTTCCATATCTCCCTTCGTTAGAAAAAAGGTTTCCATTGTGCACATTTATCAACAACAGCCACGTTATTTCTAAGGCAAGGCTCGCACAAGCGTCGATGCGCTCCTGTCATCAATACATCCCCAAGGCATCCAAATCCATGATTTTACACAACACCGCTGCACATAAGATTCCTATTGCTACATTAATTAAAATATGCATTTGCTTTGCAACGGCCTTGTCGTTTATTTTTTTTTTTTTTTTCGACATTCCTTTTTGCCCATACTGTGTTCTGGGCGCTCGCATCTCACAGACGTGGGCGCAGTAGACCTGCACAGTATGCTCCAGATTTCCACAATATGCGCCCTCCATCCATCTCCACAATGGGCTAGTGGGCTTTCAAGAGCCCCATGGTCTTCAGCAGGAAATCAAAAATTATAAACATGACTCTGTGTTGGGTTTAAATGCCACGGCGACCCAACTTCCTCCACCATTTTACGCACAGTCGATGTGTTGGTGGTTTTAAATGATTGGTCTTGTTCTTACAGGGGCATTTTCATCTAGAATGATCCTGGTTGTGTGGTGGCAGGAGAACTCCTCATGGCGGACCACATCACTGTGCTCTGTGCTTTTAGCCTCTTTACAGTGCTGCCTTGTCTAATCAGGTTCAAGCAGCATTGTACAGGGCTATGACGGCGCAGAGAGCTGGACTCCGGCCTCTTGCTGGTACCACCGCGTTTCGTTTCCCGGACCCGCTGCCATGGACGCGGTCCAACAGATGACATCATCCGGTCAAAACCCTCAAACGACGTGGGATCTCGTTTAGATATGGAGAACTTCAATGTGTAAATGGAGCTGTGCTTTCTCAGATATTCCAAAAAGGAAATGTGGCTCTCAGAGAGTTCGCGCTTAAGCAATGGTACGGTTATGTCCCTTTGTTGCAGACATAAACTGGATGGTATTTTTGAATGTACTCCACTGATATTGTTCGTTTGTATAATTGAAACAGTATTAATAAAAAAAAATAATTCAAACTGTAAACTGATGCTCACCATGATGACCTACTTTCCCTCACTGTCTCACCAGTTACTTAACCTGTCTGATATGGGATTAGTAATGACACCTGTGTTAATGAAAGGACCTCAGCACTAACAAGCTTACAGCGGGGAAAGTGGCTGTAGTGAACAGCCAAGCATTTCTCCTGTACAGACACACATCACACCACAAAATGAGCACAACGTTTTATTACAAATTATCAGCTACAATGGCCACGGAAAAATATGCTGATAAGTTCATAGTCCAGAGTTAACTTTTGGAGGGTCAAAGGGCACAGGGTCAGGCACTTGTATAGGATCCTTACTGGCTGCAGCTCCTACAGGCCTGCAGGCCATTCTCGTTGCAGGAAGTGCACTTGAGGGCTTTGAAGGAATCCGTGAAGCAATTGCGAAACACAGACATCTTGCTGCCATGGCACGTTGGGCACGGGACGAAGGCGAATCCCCCACACATCTGGCACGTTTGAGGTTGCTGCACCCTCTGAGGAGACACACAATCCTTTAATTAGTATGAGGCATATGAAGATGACCTCTGTTAAAATGACCAAGTTCTAGTCAAGCTGAACTGTTTAATAGGCTACTGGCTATTAAAAGTATGATCATTTAATGTCACACATAGGAACTGTATGTAAAATTTAGACTTTTTCATATTCCATATGACATATCTAACACGTTCAAATCAAAAATAGCTTTTACTAGTATCAATTGTAATGCTGATTCTTGTTCTACTTTCCAAAAAAAGACATGATGACTCAGTTGTTTATGTTATAATTTGGTGTTTTGGCTCTCAAGATGATTATCCAATCAGAAAACATAATGAGCCCCACATGTGTCTCTCATTTGGGTTGCCAGTTCCGATGCTGAAACCCAGCATAAAAGGACTCTGTCTGATCTGAATCCTCACTACCTAAATCCTAGCTCCTGCAGCCAATTTCTAATCAGTGTTAGTGCAGCCTCTGCAGCATGAGACTACGTGGGGGTGGAGGACATGTATTGCTGCTTGTTTTTTGAGTTTGAGTATTTTCGTTTTTATCCTCACTGGTTTTGTTTTTATTTTTACTTCACTGATGACTTATGTTTAAAAAATATAAATATCGAAATGGTAAAAAAAGTAATAATATGCCAATGATTTGTAAAGCTGATACACTTACAGAACGATCAGTGGGACAGTTGCATACTGTTCTGTTTTTGCGTTTGAGTATTTTCTTTTTCATCTTCACTGGTTTTGTTTCTGTTTTTATTTTATAAACTGTGGTTTGTTAAATATATAAATAGTTAGAAAAAAATATATATAATCATGAATCATGAAATCATTAGTTTCTTGTCATAGCAGACACACCTACAGACCTATTAGGCTTACAGTCTACTTTGAGAGTTGGCCATTTTCTTTACAACTATATTTCTAAATAGAGGCCATTTTACTACTGCTTCTGGTCTGATTAGCTTACGCCTGACCTTTCTGTACCACACTCTTTTCAATAGCCCACAGCCAGCTGAATACATATCTTAAATGTCATTACACACACTGATTTCTTCCACTATAGGCATTCCTGTTTGCACTAAAACACAAATGAGAATGCAAAACCTGAATATTCCTGCTGGCTAACTACATTATATGATGCCAGCATTACAGTGCACTGCCTCCTGTTTGAATAAATGTGTTAGAAATCCAATCAATAACCGGCTTTTCCATTATTGATGACTGCACATTGACGTGCATCTATCTTTCGCACTGCAGTTGTCTCATGTTTTATGGATGATGAGGGGAGTGGGGAGTGACTGCTCTGTTTTCTTGGTGTTCATTTTGACTGCTTCGGACACACTATCTAAATTTATTATGAGACTATAATCGCCATATGCTTTGGTTTTCTGGTTGCTATAGTGTACAAGGCGTATTTCCATGAATCTGGGCAAAAGTAATTAATATTTAAACAATGATTTGTAGCCAATCAGCCATTCCATATTTTGCTGCAAAGGAGGAGTGAAAATAAAGTTGTACCTCAATTTTTGTTAAGAGGTCTTGGAGTTCTCCTGATTCGTTCATGCCTAAGATTTTTTCAGCTCCCTGAAAGAAAAAAAATATTATATTCAGTATTATATATGAAAAATCCCTCAGTCATCCAGGTAGAATCCATGGCAAAAGGAGAAATTCGATTTGTCAATTGGACAAAAGTTTGTTTGGTCAAATATGTTTCACAGGTCATCCAAGCTGCTTCTACAGTTCTGATCAAAATGCTGGTAAATACTTTATTATATCTGCCTGCAGGGAGGAGCTAACTGTAGTGAAACTACTCTGAAACTAACACTCCACTTTTTTACAGTTTCTGTTAGTTATTAAGACTATTGTACTTGCACTGAGCGTGGGGTCTTATTAGTATAACCATTCAGGGTCATGATAGGTGCTTTCACACCTCTGGACCTGACCTCTGGACCTATCCCTATTGTTCTCTTGTTTGTTTTGATTAAGGCCTGAGGATGGAGTTGTAAATGGAAGAAAAATGATGTCTGAGTCCTCCATTTCTGTTTAAAGAAGGATTCTCTTTTTTTAAACAAAAATAGCTTCTTTAACTCCCCTCTCAAACCAATTCTTTTCTCTGGCTAAGATCTGGACCTCACTATCCTCAGAGGAGTGGCTTGTGACTTTTAAGTGGAGATGACAGCAGACTGAGGTCCACTGCTGCTCTCTCGTCTGTGTTGGTACATCTTCTTGTGAAGTGGCTGTTTTGTTTCTCCAGTGTAGCGCTTACTGCAGTCTTCACTACACTGAATGGAGTAGACCACATTGCTTTGTTTGTGGCTTGGTGTTTTGTCTTTGGGTGCTTCAGTTTCTGGTTGGTTTAAAAGGGGAGTTAAGGAGGCTATTTTTATTTTTAAAAAGAGAGTCTTTCTTTAAATAGAAATGGAGGACAAACCACCTATCTCCTATTTACAACTCCATGCTCAAACCTAAATCTAAACAAACAAGAGAACAAGAGGTGTAGCCAGGTCAGGTCCAGAGGTGTGAAAACACCCATCATGGCCCTGAATGGTTATGCTAATAACATCCCACAAGATCAATAGGCTTATCTAACTAACAGAAACTGTAAACAAGTAAGTGTGTTAGTTTCAGAGTAGTTTCATTGTAGTTAGGTCCTCTCTGCAGACAGATATAAGGAAGTATCCAACAGCATTTTGACCAGAACTGAAGAAGCAGCTTGGATGAGCTGCGAAACATATTCAACCAAATAAACTTTTGTCCAGTTGACAAATTTAATTTCTCCTTTTGCCATTCAGTATTATTTCAAAGGAGAAATTCCTGGACGACTGAGGGATTTCACAGAGGAATATTAAGTATCAGTGGCAGTTGTAGTACCCCGTGGTGGAAAGAGTACTGAAAATTGTATTTGTGTTCAAGTGACAGTATAATCTGTTAGAAATGTACTGTTTTTTCTAAATGTAAAAAGACAGATTTGATTAATGATTTTCCTAATCAAGTCCTACTTTCAGTCTTGGTTTAGCCATACTGGCTTGTCAAAGCGTGATCTCATCAGATTTCAGAAGCTAAGCAAGGCCAGGCCTGGTTAATACTTGGATGGGAGACCACCGGAACCATACCGGCTGCCACAGTGGTGCCGCCAGTGGCAAAAACTGTTGTTGTGTCCTCAGGCAAGGCACTTTACCCACTTTGCCCACTACTGATGGCACAACTTGGCAGCCTCACTTCTGTAAGTGTATCCCAGGGCAGCTGAAGCTACAATAGTGAGAAGTCAATAAATAATAGTGAAGTCAATAAATAATGCTAGGTATCTTGAAAGGCATATTATAGACTTTTTTGAGTAGTAAATTACAATATGTGTATTTTGTTTTAATTTAACTATATAAAATACAATAAATATTGCAGCAATATCATTAAAGCAATACAAAACAAAGATCACACATTTGTCTTATATTGTGCAGCCTAACGAAATGTATTCAATTACAGTAACTTGAGAATTTGTTGTTAGTTACATTCCACCGCTGAGTAGTAGTAATAACACTTTATATTATTTAGTAGTAGTAGTAATATTAGTAGTAGTAGTAGTAGTGCAGTTTGATATTACTGACCCCAAGGTAGTGGCCATCTATGAACACCACAGGTAGTGAGGGCGGCTCTCCGACTCGTCTGCAGCGCTCCTCCAGCTCTTTGCCAAAGTCCGAGTCCAAAGCGATGTTCTTCTCCACAAACCTGACCCGGTGGTTCTGGAATATCTTCCTAACCAGCTCACAGCGCTCAAAGGTGGTCCTCACCACACGGAAGCTCGTTGTGTAAATGACTATACGGCCAAATTCAAGAGACAGCTCCAGCTGTGTACAGAGAAAGCATGAGAAGTTAGGAGACAGACAGTGTGACTGTGTTTACAAGCACACCAAAATGTGATCTTTGTCTGATTTCTGGAGTTATCAGATTATTGAAATGTCACGTAAACAGTGCCTGTGGTTACATGCACATGTCAAAATGTGATTACTATCAGCTATTTGGAGTTATAAGATTATTATTTACATGTAAACCGTTAAATCATCTGATTTCTTTTTGATCATGGTCCCTGTGATTAGTCACATCAGATTTTGCAGTTTGAATGTCATTAATAATCAAAATAGGGCAAAGTAATGTGGCAAAGACAAAAATGAAAGAGTAAATGTCCAAGAGTGAAATTACTTTATAATTCATAATAGCCTACTTTGTCTTCGAATACAACAGTCACTCTGAAAATCTACTGATTAACTGACACATGTCACCAAGTGTTTTTGATAATCAGATTTCTGCATGTGAACACACAAAAGCTTACAATAAACTTTTATACGCAAAAAAATGTTTTCAGCATGGAATATTTTGTAATATTATCATCAAGACCAATTTCGGAAAGGTTTAGGAAAATTTTGTTATATTTATGTGATTTGTATCAATACCTGCTCAAATATGTATCTAGTCTCAGTGTCCATAAGTAGATATAAGTAGCCTATTGACTGACTGATTGATGTTTTACTTAAAATAACCACAAAAGGATTTAATTGAGTCTTTTTTGCAGTAACTTTTCTCTGGCTGAGGGCTTTTAGCTGGTACACTGTCGACAATTACACAATGGATAGGCTGACACTTTCCAAACCCACCACCCCACAGTACTCTTTTCACTAAAGTTTATTCTGAGGCACTTGTTTCTGGTATTGTATCCTAATCTGTGAATGTTTGCTTTCCATGAACGCACAGATTTCCTGGACAGTGGGATTTATTTACCCCTCAATTATTAAGTGTTATTAATAATGGACACAGCCGATAGCTACACCACACAGACAAGCTAAACAAGATGAAGAGGAGAGTGCCTAAAAGTAGATAAACAAAACAACCACAGCATTTAAAAGTCATTAGGATATACTACTTTCCTGATGTCCTTTTTTAATCTATTGGCTGCTGGAGCATACATAGTGGCAGAGTGGTTAGCAAAACTACAACATCCTCCAGTGTTCCAGTTTGTAGTCTCCTAACATTATAAAAATGTCCATGTTTTAGATTATGAAGTTCAATGACTAAACTAAGATAAGCCTTTATTTTCTTTATGAGCATAAGCATAAGCATGACACTGTCTTGCATTTATTCAATTAAAGGTGTTGAAAACCTGTTGAAATCTGGAAAAAACATGCATTCTTACTATGAGTGGGAACACGTTTCCACAGATCTTGAACTTGGTGTAATGGCATCACCTGTTATTCTCCACTGATATGGCACATTACCAGACAAAGATACAGTTCAGATCTGTGGAGAGGGGACCCCACTCACAGTTTTTGCGCAATAAAAAACTGTAATTGAAAAGAAGGCAAGATAGGAAAATATAATGCCATACTGCGGAACATTCTAGACAAAGCAGTTACATCTCCATGGAGGTGAGCAGGTGAGGGACCATTATTTCATTAGGGACATCACTCACTGGATTCCCGAGGCATTTATTCTCTCTATCCAGACACTAATCTGAACTCCTGTTGATAAGAGGCTTTATCTAGGCTATTGCAACACCCTGTCTTCATTCAATTTAATGTAAAAAGAAAAAAATGTTTTTAATATGACCTTTAGACTGTTACAAACTATGGTGTTGGTGGCATCAGGGACACTACTAGAAAGCAAATTGGTGAAAATGCATTAACCTGATTAGTTTCCCTTGAAACACTTACCGAAATGCATCATCAAACTTTAATTACCCTGTGACCTTGTCCTCTATTGTACTCTCTTATCCCAGCCACAGTGCTACTCTCGGACAGGTGAAACTGGAATTTGGCAGAACAGTTGGACAGTTTCAGTTTGGTGCTCCTATTATTTCTACTTAGCATTATCGGCTTACACCAACTACTACTACTAATACTACTTCTAGCCATTTGCTCCTACTACTGCTACTCCTAGGCTACTACTTATTAGGCTTGCTTACAACCACAACAACTACTAGGCCTAATTCTACTACTACACCTACTTTTAGGCTTACTACTACACCTATTACTACTATTTACTATTCATGCTTACAACAGCAAGTATTGCTACTACTAATACTACTACTACAGTTCAATAGGCATACCTAGAAAATTGGTTCAATCTTTTTTGTAGGCCTATTGACAGGTTTCAGGTGACACAATATTCTGCCAATAATATTTGGGCTATTTTATACAGATGGGGGCAGCTATATTGTTAAAATGCAGATTTCTGTAGCAATGAGTGAGTTCTTGGGTCTAGTCTATAATAGAAATTATTAGATTCAGCATTTGTGAATTTACCTTTTGGATATTTCATGACAAAGTGTAGAGTAATAGGGGAAAAATGAGATCATGACATTATAAAATCTGAAAATACCCATAACCTCAACAAGTTTTAGAACTTTTTGTTAATACTTACACTATTGGTGGTAGGCAAGCTCTCAAAAAGTGCCTGCCCAGCGCTGACTTTGTGCTTGACCCCACGTACTGTCCCGTTCTGGCTGAGTATGTTGACCCGTTTGGTGGTGAGCACGCGGTCCTTGGTCCCCCCTGCAAACATAAGCATCTCATCGGGCTCGCTCTCACTGTCGTCCAGCTCTGACCCCACAAATCCGTAGAACTGTCCATGAGAATCCCCGCTTGTGGAGGGGGTACTGGCCCGATCCGCGTCCGAGTTACTGGTGCAGTCCGAATCCAGGGAGTCCGATGGTCCCTCATCTTTGAACATCTCCTTGAGCACCCGGCCGCTGCTTCCCGAGGCTACCCGGAACCTCACCCGCTTCTGGGGCTTGTCCTGACCCACTGTCCCCTCCATCCCCTCTGTCCCGTCCATTTGGTCCCCTTTGCCCTCTCACATGTCCCACAGAGAAACTGTGCGCCACGTGCCTCTTCATCCAAGGGGTAAAAGTGGAGTGATGTGCTCCATTGGATTACCACAGGGTTTAATCCTCACAGTTTGAAGGCATCTAAAAAAGAGCGGAGCCTGTAAACTGCCTCACGGTCACCCTCACTCGGACTGTGAATAATGAATGGGGTGCTGCTATGGCAACGGAGCACGCTCAGAAAAGGTAAAGTGATAGTTGGGTCATAAATTATTCATCTCGATTTACACAGTTTTTACTCAAGTTGGTTACGCAGGGTTGTGATGCCATAATCAGGACAGAGCATTTATTATTCACCTTAGGCCTATATTTCAAGTAGTAAAGGAAAGGAAGTTCTGGAAATAATGAATTAATAATTAACCAATTAGCTCATTGGTGGTTTCATATTCAAGAATGTGATGATGTTTTGGCCAAATAAAAACACCTTGTTGGCTTGAAAACAAAATGAAAAAATTTCAGTAATATGGGGTCCAAATAGCAAAATAGTCCACTGATGGTATGTGTACAAGTAGGTGAAGTTAAGTAGTTTTCAAATTCTAAAATGAGGCTAACTCTCAGATGGAGCCTGTTGTCCTGATTACAACTGAACAAGCACTTGGATAGATGGTGAAAAGTCTTCATTCTAAAACTTTTGTCCATTAACAGAATAACATTTTCTTTTGATTAGTCTGCTATTTCCAGAAGAAATACGCTAAAAGGTGCACAAATGACTGAACCCTAAACTCACCATATTACATGAAAAATCTGTATTTTAACGATATTCATTTTAGCTGTCCCCATCTGTATTATATAATATAATATGATCGAACTGTAACTTGTAACTGTATTTTTTGCGTCTGGGGCCCCATCTATGAGCTAAGGTAGCTTCAGAGGAGTTCCCTTTTAGAGGAATTTAAAGTATGAACTACTTTAAATGTTTGTAAATTGTTTTGTAAATAAATAAATACAATAAAATTATATTATTGATGTGCAGTGTAAATATTGCAGCAACAGCAACTGCAACTGGAATTTCCTTTGGGATCAATAAAGTCTGTCTTTCTCTCTCTCTGTTGGCCTACAGAATGTTGTGATGGTATTTAGCAATATGGTGGGTTAGTAATATAATGATAAAATAAAAATCAAGAGCCATTTTACCAGGTTGTATAAAACAAACTGACTTCAATTATAACATATTATTCTACTTTTCACTTGTAGAGCTAAACCACACCTTTACTGTAACAGGTACCAGCATGGCTATAATGATGTAAGTGGCTCTCCCCTGTGGCCAGAGCAGGGGTGCAGGTGTTCAGTGGCCGCCCTGCCCCTGCCTGAGCCGAGCAGAACAGGGTCACACTGTATAATGTGTCAGTGTGACAGAAAACAGCAGTGAGGCCACAAACGCCCACAGCACTTCCCCAGAGAGAAGGCACGTCTGCTGGAGAGGAGAGCAGTGAAGGGCCCTGACAGCGCTGCTCTGCTGTTTGAGCGACAGTTTTATCCCACATGCACAACACGTTGACGTCAATTTTGTCATTTTTTTCCCTCAGTTTAAGGTCCTATATTGTGAACTTTAGGACATGTTCAAATATTGTTACCTCATCCAAAACATACCCAGAGTTGTGTTTTGTTTCTGTCACACATGTTTGAGTTATCCTTTATTAGTAATCCTGGTTTATTAGTCTGTCTGCATTTCTAGAACACAAATGCTCTGTTCCACCTTGTGATGTCATGAATCTGTAGTTCTCAAGTTAACAGTTACCTTTTACCTTTTGTCCAATACAGATTAGCAGTTCTATGGCTGAAATTATCCGGATGATTCTAGTGAAGGTGTGGAGTTTAAAAACACAGTGGAGCAGTTCCTGTATCACCACATGATATCACAAGGTGGAATAGAGTGTTTTTTGTTGGAGAGAATTCCCAGTCTAAATATGTTGAGGTTGTTTATTAAACATACAGTGAAACGCCCCCTGCTGGAAAGGTTATGGTTTATTATTGCATGTCAAACAGGAGTTTTCATCAAAGCTTCTCCACTTTCTCATGTTGAAGTAAGTCAGCCTATTTCTTAAATTCATATAAAGTTCAGTTCTCATTGGTTAATATTCTGAACTATTTTAAAGTAAATGTGTAAGTACTGGCGCAAGAGTCACCTATAGTGGCTTGTTTTGAGGAAGTGGGCTAACAGTATTTCACATGTATATATGACTGCCAGGGTGCTTATTTCACATATAATGCTTAATCTCTAAAGCATTTTCTAAGACTGCTATTTTCTAAGATTTCATGGTTATAGTGACTGACTGCTCTTTCCAACCACCTAGTCATCAAAAGTATTGTCAGTCTAATTAAAAATAATTTTGATACCTTTTAGGAAAATTTGGTGTCCTGTGCCAAAATACAAGGACATTGCCCTTTTTCTGTCTATTTATTAGCCAGATTATTGTATAGGCCTGTACAGGTGACTAACTAAAATCAATCTGCTCAATTTTCTTTACAAATCGTATTTAAAGTTTATAAGAATAATCTGTATAGTCAACCTTTACTCACATATTTAAAGACACAGTACTTAACTTTTTGGAAGTGACACATATTTCCATGGAAATATAAAGTTAAAATCATAATTTGAAACATTCTCCATCAAGGTATATAGGTTTTATGCCATACTGTGTAATATTATAGCCAAAGGAACATTTCAGGAAGAGGCCCTTCTCCAGGCCAAATAAGAATCGGGTTTATGGAGCTGCAAGCTCACTCAGAGTAAAGACACATGTTTTTCTGTTTTTAGTGCAATAAACATAACCAAAATAATAATAATATTTTTTTTTTTAAGTTTTAAATTTAATCAGTTTTGGGATACAGAGTTACAAACTGTAGTCTTAAGGGAGGAATAATATGCATTTATATATAGCCAATTCTTCATAGATTAAGGGAAGTGAAACTCTCTATGTGTGCAAAACAAGCCCTGATACTATCCCTTTCTTCTCCTCATCTATACTTTGTTTTTGCACCCCCATTTTATCTCCCCCTCGCACACGTTCAGACAAGAGACCTCTGCTGCACTGCTAAGCTGCTCAACCTGAAGAAGCTCTATATCTATTTATCTCCCAGCCCCAGTCATCAACAGCCTTCACTCGCTCTCCCCCTTCTATTCCAAAACCCATTTGATAAGATGAATACCTTAACAGCGTTTAATATTCCGCCACCCGCTCACATTGCAGTAATTGAATAGATGTGTCAAATAGAGCTAGTGATTTATGGTTTTAATTTCCTGTAGCTTATATAATCAAAATATAACATTGCTTTGGTGATGTTTAGCTCAAGAATTAAGAATCTTTAGTTCAGTTCCTAAAAAAAGAAAAAAAAAAAAAAAAACTCGCTGTCAAACATTTACAATCCTATAAACCTTACAAATAAGAAGATTGTGTTATGTCCCAAACCACAGCTCAACAACCACAAGGGGGCAAATTTCAATTCAATTACAACTCGCTGACACACTGCCCAATTACTCCCCCAAGGCCTGGAGGCTATTGCACCAAAGGATCATGGGAGCTGTAGCCTCGAACACGTGTCCAATCAGGCAGGTGATGTATGAGTGATTCCTCCATAATGATTTTACTTATAATTATTTGGTTATGGATTCAAGTCACGTTTTGAATCTAGTTACTTTCTAACAAACTGCCTTATATAGGATGGGTGCCATGAGATATTGCAACATTTAGGATTTATAGTTTCTTTATAAATTCAGAGTTTCAGTTTCAGTTCAGTTTGTCTTCTCTTGCAAAGATATCTACCTGTTTGTTCTAATTTTTCACTAGCTTTAAGATAAACTAGAGGAAGTCAACTGTTTTTGTTGTAATGCTCTTCAGTCATAGTGCACTATGAGCCATAATTTAGGCAACTACAGTCTGTCAACATTTCTGCTATAGTATTTGTAATCTCAGTTGCCAAGGCTTATGTTTGTGTACAGATCACTTATCTCGTCTTTAAATAAATACGTGGTTTGAGCTTCTGAAGGTTATTGTGTTTGCATAAGGTCTATCAAACACACCAGTCTATTGTACTATTACAGCTATCAAAGAACAGAGGTGCTCTGAGGTTACTTTCAGTTTTATGGCCTCTTAAGATAAAAAAAATAAAATAAAATCATTACAGATCAAGTTGACAGTTGACACACAGATTTGAATTAAGGTTGAATTATACCAGTTTTATCAATGTGTCATTGTTTAGACTGACAATCTGGAAATCACAAAAACAGGGTGCTCACACAATCAGAGAGGCAGCTTCTTGTCCCTGTTGCTAAGCAACCGCTAGAGCTACTGAGCTAAATCCCTGTAGCCGCGGTGCTGCTGATGTGATGCTGAATTATGGGGAACAGGGGAAGAAAGCAAGACTCATTTGCCGGTTTCTGACAATCGGGGTGTGTGTTCAGTTGTGTATGATTCATTGTAAATTGGAATGTTTGAGAATGCATTTTAGCACTGTCCTATGTATGCTGTAGCATAAATAACCCACATTTTGCCGCCCAAGTCCCTGTTTTTAATACTTATAGCCGACTGTGAGAACACAAACTGATGAATTCCCTTTTACAGCATTATATATAAATAAGATGGTGCCAGTGCAACACATGCATCAGACAAGTGTCCTGGCAGACTGCAGTTCTTCGTGCAAACTGCAGTGGTGCTGCTGCTGCACAAATAACATGAGCTCAGTGTCATTTAGCTGAGCCACAGTGAGCATGAGAGCACACACACAGGATCACACATGACTGTTGTTTTGGATCAGACAAAGTTTTACATGTCCAATAGAGAAATGTTTATGTGTATGGTCCCTGTCAATCGAAAAATAAACTGATAAATTGTAGGTGTATACTAGTATGTTGTGCAATGACAGTAAAACATAAAACATCTTATTGTTTCTCTTATATTAAGGGTTTTGTGCACACATTGCTGATGCGTAGAAATACATCTTTCAAATAATAGCCTTATTGAATTTAAACAAAATCACGTCTCTTGTGTCTGCTATACGTCACATCACTGGTCATTTTTGCTTACACCAGGAAAAGTGTCACTAGATATCAGATGGAGCAGCCTTGAATAACAATAACATTTTAAAGTGGCATTCCCTTGTGTTAAGTGCTCTAGCGTTTATTAGAAAGGTGCAACTATCATTTATGTGAAGAATGTTTAAAGCTTTTGAAATATAAATTCAAGGTGCTTTAGCCTGTGTAACTTTTCTTGTGGGGTGGGTGCTTGTCCCCATTGATAGTTTATTGTGTTGCCTGGAATGTTCTACAGTGTGGCATTCAACTCATCTTCCTTGAATTTATTCAGCTGCATGTGTATTTACTGCTAAAGAAACATTCTGAGAAATAAACATTCTTTCTGTGAGCAGAATGAGCAGAATGCCTTTCCACAGATCTGACCTGTAACTTGGCCTAGAGACACCATAAAAAGTAATATAGTACACCTTTAAAGGCCCTCATCACAGAGCCACCCTGCATATTTAGGTTATTTAGAGTTCTTCTCTTAAACTCAAAATGCTTCCACTTTGTGATGTCATGTGGTAACTGAGGATGTGCTCCACTGTGTTTTTTAACTCCATAAACCTTCACTTCACCTCCACTGTCCAGGGACTACAGATGGAAATTAGCTCTGGTGCTACAACCTGGTACAATACATTTCTCCTGTTGAGTTAATGTATATTGTGCATTGTCCCTGTCTCATTAAATAAATACATAAATAATAAATAAATAGACTAAACTGAATCACTAGAATAATATGAATGATTTCAGTTCTGGAAATGCCAATCCCTTCTGACCAAAAGGTAAAAAAAAATAGCTTTTAACTTTAAAGCATTTTGAGCTTCGGAGATGTAGACAGACTAATAATAAAAGGATGACTCAAACATGTGTGAATGAAACAAAACACAGCACAGGACAGGTATTTTTTTGAGGAGGTGACAACATTATAACATGGCTTAAAGCTCAAGAGTCGATTTTGCATAATGTAGGACCTTTAATTTCACTCTCCCAACTCTGTCAAATAAACAAATACATGTAAAGTAGTCTGCCATGGGTTACAGGCTTAAGATTTCTTTATCCGCATGAACTAAAAATTGCATTTCAATTCAAGCTAAAGGGAAATCATATTATGCCCAATTTATAGATCATGGGGTTGTTATGCCAGTTCCTAACCTACTTTCTCAATCACAGCTTTCACAGCTTTCTCATCCCCCACATAGGCTACTACGCAATATACTCATTGCCAATTTCTTACATAGACCTACTGTAAAAACTCATTGTCATTATCCTACTCCCACCCACTATTGTTTTGTGTGCAATCGTGAACGAAGTCTGCTGCAGAGGGGGAGGTGCCTAAACCAACACATGGGCAATCGATATTCAAATCTATTTGATGAGAAAAACATGCTTAGAAAAACAAACAGAGCAAGCTACGCACCACTTCTCTGCATTTAACATATTATTTTTAAGATCTGGTTTCGTTTCTGCAGTTGAAAACAGCTTGAAAGTCGCCGGTCCCTCCCCTTCCCCTGCGCTTGGATGTGGTATGGTCCGTAATGTAGCGGCGGTAGCGTCCCCCTCACATACTCCGTGGTAAGTCCGTATGCGCTCCCGCTGTCTGCGCCCCGTCTACCGCTCCTCTATCCGTGTGCCGCGTCGTGCCGGGGGGATGCTGCTGCGGGACCCGTGAACTGTGAGCATGCTCTCCCTACCATCAACACGATATGACGCCTTTTATTCCCTTTTACACATTACACACTAGCGGCGCTCCCACGGCACTCCTGTCCGCATGAATGAGAGAGAGAGAGGGTCGTCTGCCGCCGTACTGTAGCCGTATTTTGTCTCTCTTTCACGGTTTGAAAGGAGGAGGCACCAGCCCGCGGGGAGTGCAGCTGCAGCCGCGGCCGCTTGGCAGGTGTCGTCGCTCGGGTGTGAAGAAGAGGAGAGATGCCCCCCGTCAAGAGAACCATGTCTGATCTGCGGACGCGGGCTGAGGGTACGTGAAGATGTTTGGTTCATTATTAAAAAAGTCTTCTGCTCTGTTCTGGCGTATTTTCATGTTGTCTTTGCTTGGAGGAGGAGGAAGACAGGCCCCCGGCGGTTCTCCTATAATATAAGTTGCTAGCTCAGGCTTTGATTAAACATACCAGGGTCAAGAAATCCCCTGGGGTCACTTTGAGAGTCCCTTCAAGGAGTAGGCTATCTAGGAACTGACTTGCGCCATCGGTGCGTTAGGAAATGGCCAAAAGAGACATGCAATTTAAACATGTATTTTATCATGCTGGTCGATCTTCTTGTTTATTTCAACATATTTACATTGGCCTATATTCAATTCTTCAATATACAACTCAAATAGACACAGAAACTTGTGTCCTGGTAGCCTAAATAAACTGATCTGCATTATCAAGTTATGACTTGCTCAGTGTCAGCCTACACAGCCCCATGTAGACAGTGGGTTGCCTTGGACTCATAATTGCACCATTGTGGGAATCTGTTCCACGCTGTACCAGCAACTTCCCACTGCATCAGAAGTGAAAGTATTTGCAAATGGATCCCATGCATGTTTCTTTAAACCAGTTTAGCATGTTCCAGCTTGCTTTTGGTTCTGTGTGTTGTTTTATGGTTTTACACCTGTCACATGCTGCAGGTGCACACTGCAGCATGTGTATTTCTTCGAAAAATGTCTCAATTCTTAATATTCCTTGTTGGATGGCTGGCCCTGACCTTTTGAACAGAGGTCATGTCTGTGTGAATTGCTCAGTGTACTGGTGTTATTTATGATCCTGTGACTGATCAGTTTCCTTTTTGTTCAAATGGAGTATTGCCACACTGGATTTATTTATGACTTAAACGTGCTTTGCTCTAGACTGATAAATCATAGTGAGTTGTGAGATCTTTTGTGATCTAGATGTAATTTTCACTTGACGTTTTGGGTGGGTTTATTGTACCCTTTTATCACTGCTGATGATTACATTATTTTCATGATTCTACATCCTGGTGCAGTAACCCCACATGGCTTGCAATATTTTACTTCCTTTTTTCTTTTTACTCTTATGTCTAATGTTGTCTCCATGTCGACATAATATTTTACAACTGAATCCAAATCACAAATTGAGCTGGTTCTAGGCCTGTGATGATCATTACTATATCAGCTTATAGTTCAATATATTTTGATGCTCAATATTTATTATGTGCCATTTTCTTTGCAATAGGGTCGAGATTTTTGCCATTTTTACGTGAGAAGATAAGATAATGTAGAATAAATAATATCTGTGGCATAAAGTAGTTTCAGTATTGCCGTTTATCTCAATATTTCTCTGTACCAATATATCGCGCTTCAAAAATTTTTATTGTGGCATTCCTAGTTGGCGCAAGACTGAAATTATTTAGAAATGGAAATGCAAAGAAACAAATATCCTGTTTTTTTAAATAGAAAACTTGGTGTACATGGTCAGAATATTTTGTATTAATTTATCAGTTAATATTTCAGGCTTGTTAATGCTCCTGGAGTTGTTCACAATGTGCACTTTTAACATAATCTTACTTTTTAACATATCATAAATCATAAAAGAATTGCTAGCCCTATCAGAAAAATCTGAATTAGATTTATTTCCAAAAATCTAGCTGTCTCATGTGAACTCTTTTGACTCGTATTTCATCATTACTGATTTGGTTTGCTGTTGTGTTTCGGACCAGAGGAGACCTTCCAGGCTGTTGCTCCCAGACTCTGAAGTGATCGTCTGCTCTCCCTGAATTCACTGGAGTCTGTTGATTATTTGGTCAAGTGTTTTATGGTGCAGTAGTTTTTTAGGGGCTGCTATGACTGCCATTTTGTTGTGTATTTGAGCAATTCTATGTTATTTTCAATGTGTTTTATCTTCTAGTTGTGAAAGACTTTGTGACTTCCTTGTCTGCGAAAGGTGCTATATAAAGAAACTGCTTGCAAACTTTGTTTGCTGTTTGAAGTGGGTTTTTGGACTTGTTTGCCATGTAGGGAGATTCAGCCTTTGTATTTTGACCTATCCTTCTACCAGTGCTTCTGGACACTTTTCAGGGGCAGTGCTCAGGGACCATTCTGTAGAGCCTGAGCCAGAATCTTAGTCAGGATTACCCTAGCTGGAGGATTGGCCTAGTGTGCATGTTTTGAATGGATGGGGGAAATTGGAGTGCCCTCAGGAAACCTACCCATACAGGCACAAGGAACATACAGGGAAAAAGGCATACAGAAAGACTTCTCTTGGTCCATGAAATGAATCCAGGACTCTCTTGCTATGAGGAAACATACATTGGATAATTCATAAGTATGGACTGAATCCAGACCCATATTAACAGATTATTAGCTTGATTATTAGATTGTCAGCTGTAGACATTTTATCTTGAGTAAAGACATGCCCTGTGGACAGATTAATCAACTTTAAAAAAGTATGGCAAAATTATTAACATCTCTTTCAAGTGTATATAGAGAACTGCCCAGTCACTTCTTAAACTCCAGCTGACTCGCTCTGTGCATTCTACTTCCTGCTGTGGTCCAAATCCTTTATAATCCTAATAAAATAATTAGTGGACTAATAACTCATTTGGTTGACTAAGACACCGCTCACTGATTAGACTAAGTAACTAATGGACTATTGCTCTAGTTATTGCATGGCAAGCCTTTGAGATGCTAGAAAACATATATGGCGTTTGTCAGCTTTTCACTTCTGGAAACATGTAAATGCATGTAATGAAACCTAAACATTCACTTGCCATTCATGTTTCACATCCTGTTAAGGCTAGCGTGATGTACTTGTGTATAGCATGAAATCCCTTAAGAAGAGGTCATTGTGAAGCTATTTGTCAGTGAAAAGCCTTCACAGGCTCATGGTTTGAAAGACAGTCTAAATAATTAAAGACTAATATAGATGGCACTGAAACTGTTGACAGATGCGGCTGCTGCAGTCACAAGAGTGAACACATGAATTATGCAGATGCTATTACTGTCACCCCCCAACTCCCATTCAATGCCTGGTGATCCTATGAAGATTCAGTGCTTTAGCTTGTTGTTCTTTAGCTGTTTGTGTTGCGCCATTCTTTTTTTCTGATACCAGTATACCAATAAAATTTGCTGTGTGGGAGTCATGATTTCTGGTTAGATATTAACCACTGCTTGCACAAAGTTCATTACCTGTGGATCTTGTCACTTTGGTTGATCACACACCTGTTGTATCCAGGGGTTTCAGAGGGACTGTTTCCATTAGGGTTGGGTAATTAATCTAATTTGTGATTCAGTCATGTTTATCAAGGATCAGGATGGGTCTTTTTTTATGGATAGGTCTACAGCCTATACTCTCTCTCAGTAAAAACATGTGGTTTGGAGACTTTGGAGGACAATATATTAATATGTCTTCTGTTAAATAGCACTGATTTAAAGTGTATCTTGTTCATGCCCATGAAATCAATACTTAAAAAGAGATTGATACATATGAGGAAGAAATTGTGATTAAAAAAATATATATATATATATATATATACATTTTTGTCATATCTCCCAGATCTAGTTCTCATAGCAATTTCCAATTTAAAACAAACATTTTATCTTTTGATCAGTGAAAATTCCTCAAAATAACATCTATAAACAGGAAAACAAATGGCTCAGTAAAACCAAAGCCCACACCCTGCTCTTGAGTGTTATTTTTTAATCACTGCAGTGCATCAGGAGAGCTTCCATCTAGAAAGGGCAGCCCTATGCCAGGCTTACCACCTAATCCATCAGCAGCCTGTCCGTCAGCCCTCAGTGCTGCACACTCCCCAGTCTGTCTGTGCACGTGTTGGCCCGCTCCTTGTCACTCATCTCCCATGCACCAAGGAAACATCTAACATCAATGGCAGACTGCACCCACATCAGTTGCCAGAATGCCTTATCTTGGAGTCTGGTGGTAGGTTGAGTGCTCTCGGCATGTTAAGACTAAGCATCCTGAGCCTGCATACAGATCTTTTGTCAGCAGGATGAGGGGGGGTATCCCATAATGCTTTGCAAAGTAATATCACAATCTAGCAACGATGAAAACCTCTATTTATATATATATATATATATATATATATTTTAAAGCTTGATAACACTATTCAGTTGATATTTTAACAATGAATAGTATCACGAAAATGCGAGTGAACTATAAAACTGACCAGAACAGATCAGAAATATCACTTTTTTCCCTTGTTTAAAACACCAGACATTTCTGTTAAATTTATTTTCAATCAGCTCTTTTTGTGTCCATTTTAAAAAAAGTTTTTTTACTATAAACACTATTATAATTTTGCATATATCCTCGAAACAACAATTGGAATATCCATTTTTAATACATCTCCAATCTCTACTCACACATTTTCTGAGGCTATACATCCCTTTATTGACTATTTCTAAGGAACACATTTCACCTTAGCTCAACTTTTAAGTGTCAATACATTTCCCCCTTTATGTAGGCAAAGCAATCTGGTCCTCTGTAGCATTTCAATTACACCGGCTAAGCCCTGCCTAGTGTGTGAACCGTGGATACCGGGCAGGCTGCGGGGGAATGGACTGCTCCTGTCTGAAGGGAGACTGCCTGCCTGGCCGGATCACTGGCTGATAATAATGTGGTACAAAACCCCAACACGCCTCTAAATCCCCTGTCTGGCTTCGCTGGGGGGGCACGTCAAGTCCCCTCAGGGCTCTCCACTGTCGATGCAGAGCCATGGGACATCTCCGCTCCTCTAGTGTTTTCTCCTCCATATCACGGCTCCATCGCTAACCTGCAGCCAGCCTAATATGTGTGTCTTCTTCAGATATTCATTCTGTTCACTTCAGTAACTCTCCGCTGGCTGCAAGGCAAAGTGAATGTGGCAGGTCAATCTAAGAAAGAGGAAAAGAGGAATAAAAAAGGGGGAAGGATGGGGACTGGAGAGTGGAGGACAAGCCAGTAAAGGGATCTATGGTGTTCTATACTGTCGCAAATGGCTGGGCTTTATATGCACCTCTTA